ATGGAAGGATTTCAAAGGACATGACAATTTTCGAAACAACAAGGTCAGATCCACTTCAGAATCTGAAACGATTCACTCGAAGCACGAAGCGCCGCCCTCATTTAATGCCCCACGTCCCAATAATCAAAAAGCGAGACACCCATCATTATGTCCATAACACTTCGTTTTTTCAAAAGACGATCTTTGATGACGTCAGCTAAGAAAATCAGAGCTATTATGGGTAAAGAAAACAAGGATGCCCAATGATGTTAGCCACGTCAATAAGACGAAGATTTCTCAAATTCTCGTCCCAAACATGCTTGTATTGGTAAGAGCATATCTTATTTCACTCGGACCTGACTAAAAGTTGACTCCAAATGAAAATGGCTAACTGTTATGGTGTTTACTCACCGAAGATACGGGTATTTGCAAAATAATACAATCATAGCCCTGGCAAACCGGTTTCAACCACCTTTGTGGCCCAAGCCCAACAAAGGCATCGACCCCGCCGACTCATCAAGTCGATATTCTCTCATGCTGACATGAAAGGCAGGATCAGCTGACCTTATTATCGAAGAAGACCCACCAAGGGTCCACTCGACCACTTATTTGGCAACTCATAAAGACGACTTGATGGATATTCCCTACTGTCGACTAAGTTGAGGACTCGACCTCCGCCTCAAGCCTCTCCTCTAGAGCATATGTTAGCATCCCAGTCCATCTCGGACAAGCCTTATCCAGATTCTAGCCTGACAGTCTACATGACTTGTCAGCTACCCACATGTCTTCTGCCACGCTTTCAATCACTTCCTGAAAAATACGAAGACATCATCTCCCGTGCTGAAGTGACTTTCCTTCCAGTCACCAGCCGATAACTGTAAAGCGAGGGATGACTCACTCCCGTACCGAAGTGACTTTCCCTCCAGTCGTCAGCCGACACCTGTAAAGCGAGGGATGATTTGGCTCTTAGCCCGTACTTTACCACCGCCTCCCTATGCTTGGCTAGGGGGAACCCATTTATCCCCATGACGGAGATATATACAAGTAGATTCCTAACCTTAAGGGGAGGCGAGAGCTCAATCAAAGAGGAAGCTCTCTCTCTCTCTCTAAAGAAAAAGAACTCACAATTCTTCGTCTACATAGAAGAGTTCACATAGACCTTCTGTAATGGCACATTGCCACCTCAAGAATCACCTCGGTTCCTGACCTTCCCCTTCCCTACTCAAGTTTCACTAACTTGACCGTCGAAGGAACCACGGGGGAACCGGTCCCCGCCCTCTCACTGGTTCTTCTTGTCTGTGGAGCGTGGACTTCAACCCCCCGTTCAAGAACCATGCATAAAGTTGGAGAAGGAAATAACCCCTCCATCAACCTCCTCTATCTCGTCCCGGCGAGGACCCAGGAGAAACCGATCCAGTTCCGGGTTAGAACCGATTCCAGTCCGGATCCGATTGACTATTTGATCTTATCCATCAACATGAGGCTCGTTGTAAACTAGGTATGGAGTGGATCAATTCCATCCTGAATAAATGCCCAAATTAAAACTAAAAAAATCAACTTTAAAATTAGTTTAATTTTATCCAAACAATATTTTAACACCTTAACCAGGATAAACTCTACAAACTTGGACAGCGAGAAGTTAGCTTAAAAACTCCCTAAGGGGGTGTTTGGTTGCATAATTTTATAGAAAAGTTTTCTCAAAATGTTTGACAATGGTAATTCTATAATTAAAAAATTTCTGTGGATTTTCGTAAACTGTGTTTGGTTCAAAAAAATTTGCAGAAATATTTTCTGTAAAGTACAAAAAATACTAAAATTTATAAAAATCAATTTCCTCTCAAAATGAGCGGAAATCACCCAGAAATCTGACACCACATTGATATTTTTCTATAAAATTGACACTTTTCTATAAATTTAGGGCGTGTTTGGTTCAATTTCTACAAATTATAAAAAATCTTGCTATTTTCTATAAAGTTATGGACCATTTGTTGTGCGCAGCGGAAGCCAAAACCAAGCCAATGTGCTTCGAGAAACCAAACCAATCATCGAGAGAGAATGCCACAAACAATTCAAAATAACGGCACAAAAACAAACAACCAATTTTAACGTGGTTCGGCAAGTTACCTACGTCCACGGGGCAAGAATGAGATTGAGTTTTTATTAATAGAGAAGAAGAGTACAAACTGAGATTACAAATCACTCAAACTCACCAATTAATCTCACCAACAAATCTCTAATTCTTTCAAAACAAAACCCTAACCAATAGCTCCAGAAAATACCTCTTTTCTGCGCTGCAAATATCCCCAATTCGCTGCTCACCAAACCTAAAACGTGTTCCTATATATATAGAAATCCTAAAACCAAAAGCATACTAGAAATTCTAAAACCAAAATCAAAACAGATTAGGAATCCTAATAACTTATTACCAAAATAGATTTGGAATCCTATTACCAAAACAAATTAGGAATCCTAATAATATGTTATCAAAACAAATTAAGAAATATATTAGGAACATGCTATCCAACAATTCTCCACCTCGGTGAAGTTTTTCCAAAACTGAGCCGACACCAATACTAACCAAACGTCCCACTTGATGTGTCCAATACGAAGTGGAACAAATCCACGACAACAAACTCAATCCACAACAAGTTGAGAATCCAAATGAGAATGTGATCACTCTCCAAACATCGGTGTCTACTCACCAAACCGGCTGTATCATAAATGACTGCCTACGTTTCTTTTTGTCTAAGGAATCAAGCATTCATGTAGTTCACCAAATGGCCTACAAAGACCCTCAATCCAATAGAAGAGTTCTCAACTCTTCACTAACAAATCTGCGCCTGATAGCTCTCTCAATGGCCCCAAAGTGAAACAAACTAAATACCTCCACTTGAGGTGAATCAACGGTCACATCTAAATCCAAACTATGTCCACCAGCTATACTCGAATCAACCAACTCATCATCTGCATCCAAATCCAAATTATCCCTAAACTAAGTCATCTCAGCTGGAATCCCAAACGATGTTGTATGATCTGGAATATGTGGAGTAAACTCCACCCAACGTGGAGTAGCATCACCCCCCACCCGCTGTGATATCCTAATGATCTGATCAATACTCTCCACCTGCCGAGAGTCAAATGTGACATACCTGTTCAGAACAAAATCAGAGTCTCCTAACTGATAACCAAACGAGCCTCTAAATCCCAAGTGTACAATCAGATCATATCTCACATCCTCGATGTGAATAGATACTAGGCAACCAAACATCCGAAGCAACCCAAAATCTGGAGCATCTCCACCAGATCCAAAATCTCCAAACGCAGCAGTCGGTAACCTATCACTAAGATGACCCAAATATGTCGAAGCTCCAAAACTCCTCTACAATCTAATGCTCGACAACCAACACCGACCCTCCTCCAGTAAGGAACGACCTATCAAAAATTTCATCTCATCTCGTCGCCCCAATGTTTTCTCTCAAATGAAGTGTCTCAAACTGCCGCGAGCTCGGCACAAACGCAAGAAAGAACCCCTGCCAAAAACAGAATGACGGGTTATCTTTCTGCTAACCCACTTCCTCCATCTGTTATTGACTTCTATGACTTCACACCAACGGGACTTGGTTGCAACCCACCAATGCATAGAACAGTCCCCAACTACGGAAACCAAATATCGATTACCTTCCAATGATGCCTCCTTGGAAGGTCCCCAAATGCCTGAATAAACACCACCTAGAAAACCTCTCAATCGTCGAATGGAAGTACCAAACTCCACCTTGGTCTCCTTGCTCATACCAATGTACTCAAAGGACTTCAATATGCAGGTCAATGTACTTCTCAATAATCCAATATCTCAGCTTCAACTCCTTCTTTCTCGATCATCTTCCTCAAAGCACCAACAAACCAATACAGAACAAACTGGAAGAAAATAGATCCAAACTACGAGAAAGGTAGATTTTTACCTCTAACTGAAACCCTAACAAGAGCCTCCTAAATATCTCATCTTTATCACCAACCGAAATCCTAGACGAGCTTCCAAAGCGATCAACTCCTTCACCTAATCCCCAAGCGTAGCCTGGGCTATGATACCACTTGTTGTGCGCGACGGAAGTCAAAACTAAACTGATGTGCTTCGAGAAACCAAACCAATCGTCGAGAGAGAATGCCACAAACAATTCAAAATAACGGTACAAACACAAACAACCAATTTTAACGTGGTTCGAAAAGTTGTCTATGTCTACGGGGCAAGAAGATGATTTAGTTTTCACTAATAGAGAAGAATAGTACAAACTGAGATTACAAATCACTCAAACTCACCAATTAACCTCACCAACAAATCTCTAATTCTATCAAAACAAAACCCTAACCGATAGCTCCAGAAAATACATCTTTTATGTGCTGTAAATATTCCCAATTCGCTGCTCACAAAACCTAAAACGTGTTCCTATATAACCAAAAGCATACTAGAAATTCTAAAACCAAAATCAAAACAGATTAGGAATCCTAATAAGTTGTTACCAAAACAGATTTGGAATCATGTTACCAAAACAAATTAGGAATCCCAATAACCTGTTACCAAAACAAATTAGGAAACATATTAGGAACCTGCTATCCAACACCATTTTCTTGTTTTGAACCAAACAAGTAAAGTAAAAAAAATAAAAAAATTGATACTTTTAACTTCTCAAAAATTTTCCTATAATTTTTTTTAAGAAATACAAAAAAAATATTTTAAATAAAAAAATATTTTTTATAATTTGTAGAAATTGAACCAAACACTCACTAAGAATATATATACGTCTATGTACCCTAGCCTAATTCTTTCACAATTAACCCGTTTCCTCTCTTTCACTTTCTCCGTGGGAACCCAAATCCCACTAATAAATAAATAATAATACCATGGACAATTGACCACCCCCACATGCGTCACCCACGTGCCTTGCCTTTCACCCTCTCTCTCTCCCCCCTCCTTCCCTCAATATAATAACTTCTTCCTCCTCATTTCTTTATTCTGCAACAAAACAAAGTCATCACTAGCTCAGCTCACCGCCCGAGAGAGAGAGAGAGAGAGAGAGAGAGAGGAGGCGGAACTGAGCAAGCAAAACAAAGCGAGCAGAGAGGAGGATTTTTTGTTCTTCTTCAAAAAATGAAGAGATCTTGGCTCTCAAGACTCACAAAATGCTCCCTTCGCTCTCGCTCAGCAACAGCAGCTGCCCCCGACGACTCCCCTGCCGACGACGCCAAGCCGAGGCAGCTCAACGGCTGGAAGTGCATGCCCTACATTATTGGTAGTTTTTTTTTTTTATAATTAATTTTTATTAATTTCCCTTTTCGATTGATTTTGTTTAATTAGTTTGAGATCATTATTAACTACTTCAATTTTGAAGGGAATGAGACGTTCGAGAGGGTGGCGAGCATGGGGCTCACTGCCAACTTCACCATCTATCTGGTGAACCATTTCCACATGACCCAGGTCGCCGCCGCTCAGTTCACCAACATCTTCAGCGGAACCACCAACTTTGCCCCCCTTATTGGGGCGTTTATCTCTGACGCTTACTGGGGCCGCTTCAAGACTCTTGCCTTCACCTCCGTCATCTCTTTCATGGTACTAATCTCTGCTCGATCTCTTCCTTTTTTTTAGTAGTTTATTTCACGGGGTTTACATTGCGAAAAAAAAAAATTTGATGTAGGACGCTTAACTTACAATTTCATAGGGATGCAGACAATCACGTGCTAAATACAGATTTATACGTATTATTGACCTCTGCAAAAAAAAATGATCATATCTTTCAACTCAAAAGACGGATTCTAACATATTATATCTGTAAATCGTCTATCTTGACGAGCCTGAGCCAACTAAATTGGCAGATTTTTAAAATCTCATTAGTTATATCCAGTTTTGGCTGAAATCTAAAAATAATCAGTATTATTTAGATTAGAAAATAAATTTAATTTTAGAGACGAGTTTGATTAGGAAACAAATTTAATTTTGATTCATGTTTTGTTTTCTTTATTACAGGAAAGCCTTTTTAAGATATAATTTGATACTTTTTATTACTAGCTACCACTGTGACCCTGTCCCCTTGATTTTTACATGCGGCTGAATTAATTCACGTGTTCTGATTCGGTTAGATTTTTTTTTTTTTTTTTTGTCATCTCTTTTCAATTTCGATTTTAGTGACGAAATTGAGATGTTATATAGCAGCGTGTAATGTTATGTTGTGCCCGTAGAAAAAAAAAAGAGTTTGTGTAGTTAAGGTTTGAGGTGTGTGGTTATTTGTTAGCCTTAAATTTGATTACTAGCACTTAGACATCCTGAGTTCGACATGCAATTGAGTCCTTGCATAAATTGAATGCATGCGAATAAATGATGTCGGGCAATTAATTTATCCCTTAAATAGCATCATAGTGTATTTCTATTTTGTGAATACTAATTTGAAAGTTCAGGATTGATGGCTAATATGGAGAGTAAAACTCGATCAAAATGCATTTTTTTCCCCCTCAGACAAAATAAATTAAAGAAAACAGATCAAATCTTCAATTGTCTGGAGGAGCTTGGAAATTTTTATTTATCTTCGGTTTTATCATGCTGGCACATGGCAGGCATTAACTACTGTAACATTTAGTGTTCACATCGTTTCGGTCGTGACGCTCTAGAAAGAGCGCGCGCGCACACACACGCAACCTCTGCACGCCCTGTAATAACTCCCGTCTTCTCTGTTCTCTCTTGAGGTGACTCGTTACTTTTTACTTTTTACTTTTACCTTTTGATGTGGCAAAACAAAACAAAACAAAAAAAAAATTTACCGAAAACTCTTTATTATGGGACAATAGTGAGGTAACTGAGCACTGCATGTGGGGCCTAGGGTTTCCTTTTCACGTGCGGACATTGTTCCGTTTGGATCTTCTCTCTTTTAGAGCATCTCCAATATTATCTCCAAAATTTTCTTTAAAATGGGGAGTCAAAAGTCATATTCTCTAACTAATTTTTACACCAACTCTAATAGCTTCCCCATTTTAAATGATCCATTTTTTTCTTCAAATTTTTGGAGAATGCTGCAGATTTGGGGAAGCTTCCCCATTTTTTCTCCTCCATCCCTATTTTGGGGAATGAGATGGGGAATCTGTTGGGCCAAAAACCTAACTAAATTCTCCAAAAATGAGAAATGGGGAAGTTGTTGGAGATGCTCTTACATGTTTTCTACTTTTGGGGTAGAGGTTTGTGTTAATTAATGGGTTAGGCAAGGAGCGGCATTGGATTAATCTCCGTAACCACCTGATGATGATCTTTTCATCAAAAGTCACGTCACTTTTGGACCGGCTAGGTCTTTTTTTGTGTTTAGATGATTAAAAAAGAAGACCACTATATGTGGTATATAGGAGCTAAAAGATTGCCTACGGTTTGTCTACTAATTAAGGAGTGGGCTCATTTAAATACTGACGTAGATGTCTTGTTGGTTGACGTAGATGTCTTGTTGGTTGATTCTTTCTTTTTCTTTCTTTTGCTTCCTCCATAATTGAGAGACTCGAGGGGACCTCAATTTTTAGCCGAAAGGTTTGACTGAAACTGAGATAGTATCGCCCGTTAACCGGTCTTCTTTGTTGTAATTAATTAATTAAGGCGCGACACGTTAATTACTGTAGTAGAACCGTTACTGGGTTTTCTTCCTGGTTCTATAGGTTCAGAGGACGCCAAGGCCTAACTTTGTCGCTTTTGTCCCTGGAAGTCCGCGTCTCACGCGCCCAGCAAGCGCGGCTCTCAGGGCGCGCACTGTGCGAGCTAGCTTTTCTTGCGTATTAATTGTTTGGTGGTCCGCACTTAAAAGCGTGGACCTCATGGTTCTTAACCCAATCTTTGATGCTTTCGTTTTCGCATGATTTCGTGTGTTACGCACCGTGTGAACTTAATTATTAGACGGGAGAGGCGGCGATATGTTGAATGTGTTTTTTTGAGTAGGCTATTATCAGCTCATAAAGAGTAGTCGCTAAACTGTTTGATTGATTGAGCGTATCAATCTTGTGTGCTCATAAAGGGCGGTCAACACCGTGTCATTGACAATTTGAATCCTCATCGCTGCGGTCCAATTAATTGGGGAGCATATACTTTCTTCAATAACAACCGTATATACATTATTATTCCGGGGGACACTCTTGTATAATGAACGTACAATATCTGAAATATCAGCGGTAACATTCTTTTTAGATTCCAGCCCCCTCCTCCCACACTGAACTATTATTAAATTTGTCCTTGTTTACCCTTTCTACTATGTTTGGTCTCGTTTCCCCCCCATAAACTAGTAATTTGGCCCTGCTTAATTAGCCCCCGAACTATTTTCAGTACCCCTCTACCTCTTGAACTATCACTTTCCATATCCATTTAAAACACGAACAAATTAAAGGGGTAACTAGTAAGTAAAGTAATAGTTTAGGGAGTAAGCAGAGAAGTTTAATAGTTTAGGGGCCACTGTGGAACCATAAAATAGTCGCAAGGGACGAATTTCAATAGTTTGGGGGCGGGGGGGGATGTAGGGACTAAGAATAGTTCATGAAGTAAGCATGGACAAATAAGTTTTTTTTGTACCTTGTAACTCAGCTGGGCTATATTTCTCGTAGAACATAATAACGTGCCAAATTTTTTTGATAACTAGGGCATGATCGTGTTGACGATGACTGCCAGCATCCGACAACTCCAACCACCGAGCTGCACCCCCGAACAACTTAAATCGGAAACATGCCCGGGAGCGTCCAAAGCCCAGGTCGGTGTCCTAATCCTTTCCCTCATCCTCCTCGCCATTGGCGCAGGCGGCGTTCGTCCCTGCAGTTTACCCTTCGGCGTCGATCAATTCGACCGTACAACCGAACAAGGCAGACAAGGCCTCAACAGCTTCTTCAACTGGTACTACTGCACCTCGACAGCAGGGGTTATAGTAGCAATGACGCTTATGGTCTACATCCAGAGCAGTGTCAGCTGGCCTCTAGGGTTTGGTATCCCTACTGGACTCATGCTTCTTGCCCTGATTTTCTTCTTCTTGGGAACGAGAGTTTACACTTACGTTCCTCCGGAGGGAAGTGTGTTCTCTGGCACTGCGCAGGTTTTTGTGGCGGCATTTAGAAAACGCTCGCTTCGGTTGCCTTCTCCTGACGATGTGCAGGAGCAGGAGTCTTTGCTGTACAATTCTGCACCCAAGAGTGATCGAATTTTGAAGCTTCCTCTTACTCTGCAATTCAGGTAAATTATTGTAGTAGGAGGATAACAGAATTTCCTTAAAAGGAGAATACAGTTTGATTGACTACTAATTACTTGATTGCCACTTTAGGTGCTTGAATAAAGCTGCGATCAAACGCGAAGGAGAACTGAAAGAGGATGGCTCAGTTGCTAACCCTTGGAGACTCAGCACAGTCCAACAGATCGAAGAGGTCAAATGCCTGCTTCGAATCGTGCCCATATGGGCCTCAGGCATTGTATGCTTCGTGGCCCTGGCTCAACAATGGACTTTCTCCGTGCTACAAGGTGTAACAATGGACCGCCACATTGGTTCACACTTTCAAATCCCCGCCGCCTCACTCGGGACACTATCTTTGGTAGCCCTCGTCTTGTTCATCCCTATCTACGACCAGTTACTAGTCCCGATAGCCAGAAGAATCACCGGGATCGAGAGCGGAATCACTCTCCTACAAAGACAAGGAACAGGGCTGGTAATCTCAGCACTGTCGATGATTGTTGCAGGATTAGTAGAGCAGAAGAGGAGAAATTCGGCGCTGGCTCATGGAGGTATGACGCCAATGTCAGCGTTCTGGCTGAGTCCTCAGCTGATACTGATGGGAGTTGCAGAGGCTTTTAATGCCGTTGGCCAGATTGAGTTCTACAACAGGCAATTCCCCGAGCATCTGCAGACGTTGGCAGGTTCGCTGTTCTATTGCAGTCTCGCGGGATCAAATTATCTCAGCAGCATTTTGGTCTCGATCGTTCAGAAGAACACAAACTGGCTTAACAACAACGATCTCAACCATGGGAGAATCGACTACTTCTACTATGTGATCGCAGCAATGGGGGCGGTCAATTTTGCGTATTTCGTTGTTTGCGCCTACTTTTACCGTTACAAGGGTGTGCCGGAGATCAAAGAAGAGGCTATCAATGAGAAAACAAGCAAAGAGATGAAAGATTTTCAAAATGTATGATAGGCAGCGGATTTGAGGGAAATGGTCTTATTGTCATTTATAATATCAAATATGTATGAATAGATTGCAAGTTTGTAGTGCAATTGTATAGCGTGTTATCGTATATTATAACCATACATCTTATGTAGAGGAGTATGGTGGACTGAACTGGGACATGTAAGAAAGAGGCATCCGACTCAATTGGGAAATTCTATGGATTAGGGTGAGAAAAGGCTTTCTGCTTTCTTTCCTTTTATTTTTAAAAGCTTTATCACTTCAATAATTAAGATGTATGGCTGGCCATTAAGAGAGAAATGATGATTGATTGATACCTAAGTAGAGAAAAGGAGTGGGGTGTGATTGATTTTCGTTTAGTTGGCTTTCTCATCGAAGACTAAGATTGAATGAAAGCGGAGGGGAAAGATGACACGTGCGAACTTGGGTCCCTATCATATTTTGAAGGGGGTTTTGATTCTACGACGTAGTATATTCGTGTGTGGTGGGTGGGCCTAGCCAAAACAAGTGCGCCACGCAAGGCCCCATATCCAGCTGTTGCTTGTCCATTCCAACCTACAGTGAACCCTACTCAGAATCATGAAGAATGAGACCTGGCCTTCAAAATCACGAGCTTAGTTTTCGCGAAAATAAAAGGTCACTTTTTGAGTAGGGTACGGCTCTGTTCTGTTGGTACCCTGAGCACTCCTCCACTGTGTGGCAGTGTTTAAATTCGACGCATCAGAACAGAAAAGAGAGAAAAAACTAACTGGCTTCGGATAAATCTTCACCAGCTTTGGGACAACATTATGCTACCTTTTCCTTTTTCTCTCTTTGACATAGGCCCCAAATTTGCGCTGATTCAACTCTTTAGGATCTTGTGCAAACTATGATAGTTTATTTTGGCAGTAACAGGGGTAGGAGGCACGCATACATAATTTATCCCGCAGCAGCGTACGATCATCATTTAATAATGAATCTTTTTGAGTAAATGGAGGAAAACCACGGGAGCACCTCTCAAGCGCTGCCATACAAAAATGCACTCTTGGGGGTAGTTAATGAATCCTCAAAATACATAATAATAAAAATTAAATGAGTCTCCAGCGTAAATTAGATTCGTGCACGCATTTTGTTACTTTGGAGTGTTTAATTATGACGTGTAGGATTAGAATCAGGTCTAGGAGTAGATCCAAGCCGATGAATGGGGATAATTGCATGATTATTAGTCCCTGCACTGGGGACTACAACAGGAACTTAACCGTCCCTGATTTAAATACATACAATTTTACCCCGGCTACTGATTCGTATTTTGAAACTGCACATGGCAGTATAATTAGTTGGTAAACAGTTATACCCACTCCTGCTAAAAGCGTAAAAGTTGGCTAGAGTTAGCAAGTGATTATTTTTTTAGGTGTCAACAAAAACTTGGAATCCTATGAAGAATATTTATGCAGTTAGCCGTCTATGTGTTAGGGAATTTTAGTCTCCCCGCCTACTACAATCTCCGCAACTCGGAAGCTAACCCACAATTAATAAAATAGAAAATAACCACAATCAAGAAGAAATAACACCGAGATTTACGTGGTTTGGTCGACCAACTTCAACCTACGTTCACGGGCAACAATACAAGAGGAACCACTCAACCATCGTGTCTCAATCTCTCAACCTCACATACATAATCAACTCTCATATTATCTCCAAAGTCCTCTCCTTATAATCTTTTGAACGGACAAAGACTGTGAAACCCTCTCCCAATGATGTAATCTTTTGCACGGATAAATACCACAAAACCCTCGTCTCTCGCACAATATTCTTGAATCAGGCTACGCTCTCTGCTAACCCTAGATTACAAGAATATTGGCTCTCTGTCCTCTCCTTAGCTTTTCCTCCAATAATAGAAGAATGTATATAGGAAAATCAAAACCATATTTCTAGCCTATCTTCCTAATTAGAATATGATTCAAACTCCTAATCATGATGAAATTCAATCTTCTAATTATGATAGATCTCTAACCATATCTAATTCTTACGAAGTTATACAAAGAATCAAAGACACAATCCTAACAATCTCCACATTTGATTTGATTCCCAAACTCCGTTGAAGATACATCATCGCAGTTTTGGAACTTTGTCTCTCCTGCTAGAGTCTTCTATTTTTTTCGCACTTCAAATCGAAGCACCTGCACTCCAACTGGGACGTCCCGTGACCCTCGCTATCATCTGCTTAACCGTGGCGCTTCCACCTCTCTTGTGTGCACCAAAAGATCTTCGCCACCTCTGACATTAGAAGCAAATCAACCATGCTTCTCCTCCCAAACTGAACTTGACATTAGCCTTTCCCCACTTGATGTCCTCGTACTCCACCTGCATCGCTCGTCTCGAATCATATTAGTGCACCTCTCCTACTCCACACTATGAGCCAGATGCCTCTATTTTCTCCATCACTTGGCTTGGACCGAATATGAGCACTCATTGTCTTCAAGTCCAATGTCGTCATCTCCATCAGCATGTGTATCACTCAGTCGTGCCTGCTTGCAAGCTTCACCTAATCTGGCATTGTCCTCCTCGAGTCTACACACCAACCAACTACTGCTCCCGCGATAACTGTGAATAATTATATGTTGATAACTCTACTGCTAGAATCACGTCTGATTCTCTATAGCAGTCTCATCCGTCGCATACTCGTTTGCGTTATCTGCCATTAGATCTGTCTCATTACTACCATCAGAACTTATCAGCACTTTCTGACCAATCTAAACAAAATCTGAAAAATTAAATCCTCCCATCGCGTTCAGAGCACTCTAAAACCTAGGAATCAACTGCTAGATCGCCAAAATCCACTATCGATTCGCCCATCTACACTCCAATCAATCTCAGCCATTGGATTGGACTAAACATTAAACGCCATACAAAGCCACACACCGAATCTTGGGCACCAAAAAATCTGGTTCCTTCTCTTACGTATGAAGAATGATTTCTTTATTTATCACGTGTAGTCAAAACACCAAACATGAAAATATTCCAAACACAAGATCACCTCATCATCAAATCACGTGATTGTCTCCTCAGATTTTCACGAACAGAGCCAACCGAAGCCCTCTCGAGAATTCTTCCAAGCAACTCCGCCAACTTGTCGCCGCCTGCTCCTCTCACTGCCAATTTGTCTCCACGCAAGCCTTTTGCCGGTGACCGGTTGCACCTCCTCGACACCGCGATTCACTGCTGCAGTCGCCTGCAGACTTCGCTGTCAGACACTACATCCCTCAGGCGCTCTCCTCCGGACGATTAGTCGCTGTTAAATCCTCCTGCCGGCAATTGTTGTTCCTTCCTTTTTTTTCTTTTTCTTCGTCTTGATTCTTGTAAAGCCGATCTTCAATCTTGCACGACGTCGTCTTCTATTTTGCGAACTTGCTCCCGAATCCATCATCATAGCTCTAATACCACTTGTTGGGGAATTTTAGTCTCCTCGCCTACTAAAATCTCTGCAACTCGGAATCTAGCCGACAATTAATAAGATAGAAAATAACCGCAATCAAGAAAAAAGAACACCGAAATTTATGTGGTTCGATCGACCAACTTCGACATACGTCCACAGGCAACAATACGAGAAAACCACTACGTATAAGGGAGAACTACAAGAGGAACCACTCAACTCTCGTCTATCAATGTCTTAACCTCACATACATAATCAACTTTTATATTATCTTTTGAACGGACAAAGACTGCGAAACCCTCTCCCAATGATGTAATCTTTTGCACAGATAAAGACTACGAAATCCTCGCCTCTCGCACAATATTCTTGAATCAGGCTACGCCCTCTGCTAACTCTAGATTATAAGAATATTGGCTCTCTCTCTTCTGCTTGGTTTTTCCTCCAACAATAGAAGAATATATATATATATATAGGAAACCAAAACCCTATCTCTAACCTAACTTCCTAATTATAATAAGATTCAAACTCCTAATCATGATGAAACCCAATCTCCTAATCATGATAGATCTATAACCTTATCTAATTCTTATTAAAGTTATATAAAGAATCAAAGACACAATCCTAACACTATAATCTCGGGAGAAGTTGGTGTTATTTACACAAGCTCTTGGCTGGACTTGCGTCAGTTAAGAACCAATATGATCCCATAATATTTAATGTGAGCCCATGAGACCATATAAAGCCAACACAGCAACTTTTGTTCTCAAACACAGCCTAGCAGGGTGATATGCACGATGAATGAGTGATGCTGATAATATTGTCTATAAGATATCGCAACCCTCGAATACTACAGGACACCAACCCTTTGGAAAAGAAAATCTTCGTAGCCATGACCACTGAGTTTGATGCCACAGAGTCCAGAGACCACAATTAGCAGATAAGAAGGGAGGAATCGGATTGCCTGACAGTCTCAAATTCAAATTATCAGGCTCAGGTGAACTTGTACTAGTTTAAATTGCCTTCAGGGAAAAAAGTTAGGCCTAAAAGTAATTAGTTATCTGAAATATTGGCAGAGGAGTCGGCAGCTCGAAGGTCTATTAAGCTTATATAACATTATCTTTCCACTAGCAAGGAGCCTATGGTTCTGATAAGTTTTTTCCCTTGTAACAAGGGCTAGTGCTCGGGGCCACCAGTCATTGTTAATAATAAGTGAAGATTTATGGCATTGTCCAAAGATACAGAGAACCCATCAAGTATGTGGGACTCACTCTTGAAGCTCCATGACGGTAGTTATTATTCCCACATAGAAGCCTCGAGTGCGATCGAATTGGAGTACATAGGTTTTTCTGATTTAATTGAAATGTATGTCATTTTTTTCAAGCTAATAAATCTTCGGAAATATATGTAGCCTACAACCATAATTTGTTAAGCTGCTTATATTTTGATCTAAGATACAAAGTCATCCTGCAAACTTACTAGAATCTAAATGTAATTGCTCTCTAAGGGTGGACTAGACATCAGGTAACAGTTACATCCCTAATGACATGTAAAGAGATTGGATACGAGGAAGAACAAAATTGAATAGAAGGGATACTCCCTTCCCAAGAAAATCTGAGGATGTGGTAATTGAGTGTACCAGAAGAAATGCAAGAAAAAGAAGAAACTGCTCTAGAATTTGATTGATTATGGATTAATAGCAGTGTAAATGAATAGAATGAATTTGAATTGACTCACTTGTGGTTCATAGTTTGTGTACATATATCTCAGTTGTATTTACTGTTTTCACTCATGAGACCACGAGGAGGTTGTTCTCATAGCCATTATTGCCCACAGTAGGCCGCAGCGGGTCTATCATCCACACACCATCCACGATAAACTTGATCTGCATTGTCATTAGGACAAATCATTCTAAGCGAATAACATAAGAACTTCAACTATCCACATAATAACATGGGTCGCTTCTGACCTCATATCGCCCAGGATACAGCATCAGGTTTAAGGTAAACATGCCTGACTTTGATTTTTCCATTCTTCTCTGCACAATTATCATGTGAAATGTTAGATTGCAGTATCTTGTCTTACCAGATTTCGAGACAAAATGTAAACAAGAAATCTAGACATTTGAAAGTTACCAAGACCTGAAAGCTAATTAATGGTGGGATGAACAGATCAGGAACTCCTACAATTAGATACCCTTCTATTGTTCCTAATGATATTAAGAAAATCCATATTGCATGAATGTTTCGAGAGAAATGGGCATTGAAGCATATAGAAAATGAAGAATCAGGCATACAGCATCCTCCTTTACACAAAGCATTAGGCTTTATAAGAAACAAAATACAAGGACACGCTCGAGCTTCTCATGTTGAAAGTTTGCGATAGAAAGGATGGTGCAGTTCTGAATCTTTAGACCAACTTCTCATTAACCAGCCAAACCTCATTAGCGTAACATATTTTCTTCATCAGCATGAAATTTATAGACCACCAAAACAGGGAGTGGGTTGTAATTAGAATAAAAGTTTCAATAAAATACAATCTCGCTAGAACAACCAAAGTCTTGTGTAACGAGAATGTTTTTCTTATCGTGAATGAAACAAATAGAGACAGGGTATGTCTAAAAGCAAGATATCAGCAATTACACATGAAATTTGAGCGATACATCAGATAGTCTTGACCTATAAGCCTGATCCCATGTGTTTCACCTAAACAATAGGTTCATGTGGAGAGCAGAAGGGAGACAGAACGGACAGGAACAGAGCCGAGCAAGTACGGTAGAATATATCAAGGGCTGTGAAAAGTGAACATACTGCAGACCAAGATATTGGTCCGAACTCCGAAGGTAGATTAATAAGGTTAGCCCTACTGTTGGAGCCGGAAAATACTCTACTCAGACCCAATCTCTAACACGAAGGTGTGTGTGGTGACTATACCAGTTTTAAATATATCTCATTTACGTTCTATACAATGAAACCACATCGGAAAAACCAGAAATTTATTTGGCATTGCAGAACTGTAGGTGTATCATTTATGATATGTTTTGTTGTTTTATCTATTATGTCATCAAATCATATTGTCTCATAATTACACAGAGGTAAGAAAGGCGAGCCTCTAAACACACTTTTCCCTTCCTATCCCAGATTTTTGGGATTTATCCAGATTTTTCTAAATAGGTTAAGAACCACTCTATTAAAAAGAATATGTGGTCCAGAGACTAAAGGAAACAAATAAAATTCATATCTCCTCTTTGCTTCAATTATCTAGCTTCAATTTGTTCAAGCCAACATGGTGCAGATAATCAACTGAAAAACTAGAGTAGATAACAAAACTAGAGTAGATAACAATTAACGAATGCTATTAACTAACTTCCTCTATCTCTGCCTCCCCCAACTAAACAAAGCAATTGAGAAGAGGAGCACCCCACCCAAAAAAAAAAGAAAGAAAAAGAAAAAGAAAAAAACACCAACCTTTTCTTTTCACTGGATATGCATGTAATTATGATTCATAGGATGATCTAACCCACTAAATTCTTTTCGTTACCTCTATTTCTTTATTTAGGCGGAAAAGGCTACATCATATATATCTGGTTTGGGTGGTGACAAGAGAAAGCAGGGTCAAATGCAATCTTAACAAACCATAAATTTCTCAGTTGGACCTACATCTAACAAACAATGAAAACTGACTTGATAGCGGTGCCCTAAATTTCTCATTTGGACATGCATTGGACTTATTATGAAAACTGATTTAAGAGTGATGAATTGTTTAAAAAATCTT